GATGCTACACCTGTGGGCGCAATGATCTCTCGCGAGGAAACACTCGCAGTTCTTTGTCCTCCTCTCCTTCTCATTGAGACGCGGATGCATCACGGATTAGTTTTAAATGAGAGCGCGTAGTTGGGCTTCCATGAACCGTTGATTAATTTGCGAAATATTCTCATGAGATTACGCTCGGTAAACAGCGGCGGATTTCTTCAATGATATCGAGGTAATCCGCGCGAATCGATGACTAATGATTTTGTAGCGGTTGGTTTTGTCCGGTTGATTTTTAATCCCCTGGTATAATTTTGTTGAGCGGAAACGAGAGATCAAGTTAAAAATTGATGGCCAACGTTGTAACCGAGGGCGATTTTTCAACACGAGACTGAAAAGTATCCAATTTCCGACTAAGGTCGAGTTACAAAAATGGCTGAAATGATTTCATTCGAGTATATGTCACGCGGGAGTTTTTCACAATACCAGATATCCATGATAAATGCTTTTGATACTGATAACCGATTTTCAACGGAAATTCATTAGCAAACGGAAGTATCAGGCGATATGTTAGCGGAGGGGTTAAAAATGGCAAACCTTTTTTTTGTTTTAACTCCTTCCGATGAAATTGCAGTTACAGGATCGACGCGATGATTGCCTTAGGGAAAACCCGGAGATCGTTACTTGCAGGTAATTCCATCTGTCTGACTGGATTTTTCTCTCGTCGCAATAAAATCCGATTAAATTACTATTACTCACGCGACTGAACAATGAATAAAACGTAATTCAAGGAAAAGAGAGGAGATACGAGGATTGCCGAAGCGTTGAGAATCGCAAATTGAATTGAACATTATTATGTAAGCGAACAATGAATAAGAAAAGAAGATGGACGAGGGACGATTCGAGGGCGTCGAAAAGCGAGAGTCGAATAGACCGATAGGCGGACGCAGGTGCATTACTTGCGCCTGAAAATTTCTCGGGAATCTTCCGAAGAAATACCAGGTCGTCGTCGAGTACGTCTGAGAAACGAGAAGAGGAGTGGCAGTCCCTTATTTACTCGCGCGATCCTTTGGGATTCACGTAGAGAGGGGCTGACTGTAACGAATTTTACCTGTCAGACTCGGTAGAACGGAGCCGGCTGAACTTTACCCTCGGCAGGTACCGCGCCGGCGTCTCTTAGATCACACCAAATAAAAACGAACGTCGCCGTGTACTACGATATGTTCCCGAAATAGACCGCCGAATGTTCTCAGCGCGTTTCACTCGTCGTGAAATTGAAGACAGCTCGTACGTACGCTCGTTAGGACGCACGTTCCATTTGAGTTATAAGCATTTGATGCCCAAGTTCGATTAGTGGATCAATGAGATTGACGGTAATTGTCGAGGGTGAAATTTGTATCCTTCTCTTGCCCGACCCGGGCAGCAACGATCGCGCCCTCGAGAGTCGCGGAAAAATACGTTTACCAGAGAAGGCCTAGCGCGGTCTTCTTGCACGATCGAGCATTCCCTTACGATTGAATTGAGAGGAAATTGTCTTGCGCGAACGACAATAAGATAAGAGTACCAGTTCCTGGATTTAATCCTGCATATTCCTATTGTTTTGTTCTTTAAAGGCGACTATTTGAACTTTCAGTGCAGAATATATGCATATATCCAATATATGTACATGTTTTATGTTGAAAGTTTGGACATTCGTATTTAAAAACCAAAGCAATAAGAATGTTAGGTACCAGGATTAAGTGCTCGTCCGGACATTGGTACTTTCACTTTAATTGTTTTCCGTAATTAGCTGAATTTTCTTTCAAGGCGATCAAGAAAATGTCTGAACTGTATCAATAGTTGTTACTTGAAATTTGCCCCAAGTGAGATACCTAGATCCGTATTAATAGCCATTAATTAAAACTTGAAAAACGCCAGATATGAATTTGGAATTAGATTTGAGTTTTTTACTTGAATTACACAACACACGTAACGTTACAATTGTTGTTGGATTGTAAAATTCACATCCAACTCTATATTCAAATTTAAGTATCTCAACTGAATCAAGTTTCAAGTAATAATTATTAATACAGCCCGTATTAATAGTTGTCACTTGAAACTTGTTTGATGCTCAGATTTCCGAGTTAAATTCAAGTTTTCCAGTTGAATTATGATACATGCGACAACTATATCCATAATCACGATTCGACTGAAAAACTTTGAGAACTTTTCTTTATTCTGAATTTAGATCGAAGTATCTCACTTGAAGCAAGTTTCAAGTAAGCTATTAATACAAATCTTAGATTTGAATTTAGAGTTAGATGTGAGTTTTCCAGTTAAATATGGTGATTGTAATGTCCCATGTATGTATTATATATGATTCATCTAACTCAAATCCAACTCTAAATTCAGAATATCTCACGTGGGATAAGTTTCAAGTAACGACTATTAATACGAACCCATGCCTCTACGTCTTAAGTGTTATATTGTCGATTGCGAGGGAAATTGTCGCGACTTGAAGGAAGAAAATCCGTTATTTGCTGTCGCCCACTACCCTTCACACGCTCCTGGCGTGCGCTTGTTAGACGTGATCTAAATTTTGGACGGAAACCGACGTGACCTCGTCCGGGTCACGATCAAGGACGCACATGTCACGGCTCTCCGTATGGTCGGTCGAAATTGTCGGTGCTACTTGGCTCCATTTCGTTTACTCCGCGATGCACCGACACTCGAATTCACGCTCGACCGGCTAACTAGGTCGATAGCTCGACCGCTGGTGCGCACTGCCATCATCGTAATTCTCGTTGTTGCTGTTTTGTTATCTATTGTTATAATTCCTGGTCAATTACACGTAATTTCACGGGGCCGTAGCAATTATGAATTATTAAAAAGGAGAAAGCGAGGCCCCACGATCCATTTTTTCAGCCGCGGACCAGAATCCGCGAAGTAAGATTTATGTGCGTGCGACCTTGTATAATTTCGCTCCTCCGCTTACATTTGTCAACGCAGAGCTCATGTCTTACGGAGAGACGGTCTATTTTGCGTCGCTCTTCCGCCGGAAACCGCAGATTATCGAGCAGACGCGGAAGAGAAAATGGGACGGGCGTTTAAATCGTATTAATTTCGGGAGAAAAAGCAGTCGCCTTGTTCTTACGATTTTTCAAGGACTACGTTTCGGAACGACAATGAAGACTTTTTCTCGGCTCCCTCGCGGCTCTGTCCCGTGCGATTTTCGAATACAGAAAAATTCGGATGAGCGCGCGCGCCGTTGGAGCGACGCCAGGTTTTCCCGAGCTATCGCCGCGGGTTTGTCGCCTCAATGTCTTTCGGAAACTGGGTTATCGCGTACATGTGCGTTCACGAACACGAGGAAAAATATACAAACGAGCGACGTTTGGATCAGAGATTTCGGCAAGCCAAAATAGAATCGATCCTCGTGCCTTGTGACGAACAATTTCTAAATGAGAGCAAAGTTCGCGAGGCACGATGGCATACTCAACTCGAGGCTCCTGTATACTAAGACTCTTAAGTCTGAACTCTCTTTTATCAATAAAAGTGCCTCTAAATTTACTTAGAAGGCAGTCAGATAAGAATTATACGATGTAACCAAGCAGGAATTATAAATTACATTTAGAGATACTTTTACTGATAAAGAAGAGTCTAGAATAAAGGCCTATATAATTAAATTACACAATGCAGGAAAATGTGGGAAAGTGTAGAATGTTAGGTGATGCATAGATGTATGCATTAGCATTATGTATTCTCTAAATTTCTTGGAATGGAATCAGAACGAGTGAAAAGTGGCAGTATTTTCACTGAAAATAGTGACAAATACTGCCACTCGAAATCGTAAGAGTGAATGTTTCGCTCAAGCTTATAGTGCATTCTGACTTTATGTGAGTGAGTGCTTCAATCGATTAAAGTGAATATGTCCATGTGGGACTACATCAGATTTTCACTTTTTAGTTTCAAAAGTGAAGATATTTACTCGGTGATTCAGAATGAAGGATAACCTATCGTCCTATCTATCATGTCTGATTACACTTTCCTATTTCACTCAACGAGTATCATATCGTTCTTATACACGATATTCTAAATTCTGTCCTTCCCTTCAGTTACACATACTTATCCCTTTATTTTTGTCTTCCTATTCGATCTGTTCACTGCTCTCCTTATTTCCTCTTTATCCTCTTTCTTTCCTATTTTTTCCATATTCTGTTAGTTTCACTTTTCCACTCTATATTTCCTACTAATGTCATGAAGAGATTCCTCTGCCTTTTTCTTCACTTCTTATACGTCTTCTTCAGCTTACATCACCGAGAGAAGGAGCTTTCCATATTTTACAACTTTCTTTTTATTCTTTGCACTTCAATCTTCTTACACAGCACCTGTCTCACCAGTCCTTGTATCATTTTTCTTTCGTATATCTTTATTTTGTTTCTTTATCTCATTCGATGACCAACCTTTCTCCTCATGTCTTGTATCCTTTGTTTTTCCTCCATCCCTTGTGTATTTCTATTACCATCTATTACACATTTCCTCTATCGACAATTTTCTCTGCATCACTATACTATTTTAAGTTTGCCTGCATTACTACCCGAACTATCCGGTCCTTATGACACCATAATCTCTGTTATCTATGTACTTTTTCCGTACTAAATCCTACTTTTCTAGGTTTGTTTTGCCTTCACTTATACATAATCTATACACTCATTCCTACATAATTTGCTCTATCTGACCCCGTATTTAATTCGATACATTAAAATCATTCCAAACTCACGCATCAAGCATTAACGTTAATCAAGCATTCACGCATTTACACGTCATCTAACAAAGTTTCTGTTGAAAAACCACTCGAATTCGAGTGACTCGGTGATCGTTCTACTTCTCGAAAGTGGGAATTTCACTCCAGGAAATTTTAAGACTAAAATACGATAAGTAGGAAATCAATATCCGCGCGAATTGTCGACATTGCGGGACTCGCTAGTTTTCGCAAGTTGCCGGTAATCGCAGCGCGAATTTTGCTCCAGATCGACGACGACCGTTCTCTCGCGCTCGTTCTCGCAAGCGAGACCGATTGTCTTCCAAGGAGTGTCTTCCGCAGCCTTACCCGTCTTCCCGCGAGCTATTTCTCCCCGGGCTGATTAGATCCAAAGTCATCGTGCCACTCACGCATTCCCAAACCTGGTAAGACGATGAGCGCGTCGCCATTGCGGACACTCGAAATTAGCTGAGCTTATAATTGTAGAGAACCGTATCCCGAGGATAACCTCTCGGAAGAATTTTCGTTACAGAGATCGAGGGGAATTAATACGCATTCGATATATATGATTATTAAGTGACGACCGATTGTCTTCCGCTCCCTTCGGCACGGTGTAAGAGATCTTATCATTGCCAGGAGACTCAAGATCCATAAGGAATCAAATTGTCCACGCGAGGTGGACGAATGTCAATTCAATTAAGCGCTCGACTGACTGTCCTCCATTTCGTCACTCTTCGTACAAGTCCATCGAAGACCAGAAGAACGGCCGTGCCGTGACCGTTCTCCATTCGCTCGCTAACCGTACGAATCCATCGGAGATCGCAAGAGGCGATCCTCGAGGCGCGTCGATCCTCGGCGCCAGCCTCGGAACGAGAATTCCGTCCTCCGAATCCAAGGAAGAGTCGTTCCCCACGAGAGGCCGAAAGGAGATTCTCGCGGACGCGTTTTCGCGGCGCAGAGGACTCCGTGCGTAAATCATCGTTCTCTACGTGTCCCGGACGAGCGTCGTCCCGGCGTTCGATGACAACTGAACAAGATTTGGTGCTTACCCAGCGTGCGTGAGCGGATCCTCGGGCACGAGGGCGGTGCGCCGAGGAGATCGTCCTCGACCACGACGATCACGACGTCGACGACGGCGACGACGACGACGACGACGACGACGATGCTACGCTCGCCGGCGCGCGGCGCCGTCACCGTCCTCCGGGAGCCCCTGTCCGCCTCCGCATCCGCGTCCGCCGCTGCCGCCGCGGCGGCGGCCGCGGTGGCCTCCTCGACCACGACCGTCTCGGCGCCGCCGACGCCGGTTCATCACGGCGCCGCCGGTGCCGGCGCCGGTAGCTCGAGCGCTTCCTCCTCGCGCCTCTCCCTGCTCGACACCTGCCACAGGAAGATCAGGCTCTTCGGCGAACTAGTCGCGTGAGTTCCCACACCCCCGCCAGAACGATCGTGTAGATGATTATGTATCTTATAGTGCCCTCGGGAGTCTTGGCTCTCTCTGGTCGAACGACTCGAACAGTTCGAATTTTTCATGGTCCAGGTCGAGCCGCGGAGTTCTCCTTCGACCGCGCTCTAGCAGTTGTGCGCGAAACTGTCAAGTCGGGCGCGATGATGCGTCGCGAAAAGGGAATAAACGAGCGCTGTTTGTTCTCCATCGAAGAGAGTGCACACAGAAAAGTATTATTCCATCTACTAAGAAAAGCAATTACTCAGTTTATTTTTCTTCTTTGAAGTAGTGGTTTTCTTCTATCACAAAGAATTTTCTTGATAATAGTCTTCAAATATACTCACCACTAATTTCAGAGACTCATTTTGATGAACTCAAAAGGGAAGTTTATTCTCTTCACAAGGATATCATAAAATTTGGTCGAAGAAGAAATTGATTCGACTCCATGTAATGAGCAAGCCGAGTTTTTGTTTCGATTTAATATTTTTTTTTGAAGTGCTAAACTTACTAGAATTAAGAATATATTCCGAGGAAGTTTGATATTTATGATGGACTTATAATAGATTTGCGGATATATAAATTCATGAAATACTTGAAACAAGTATGACATTTATTTGTTTCATAATACTGTATTTTGCTGCGTATACCAAAATCATTGTATACTGTATTATTCTGTGTGTACCAAGATCACTCCGAATGTTGAGATCATCCGCGGATGGATTTTAGAACGATCCAGCGGCTCGATCGTTTCCATATCGAACTGTTCGAACAATTCGATTATTATTCGAGTCTTTTGTATGAATCCTGATATGTATATACGTGTCACTATATGCGCGTTGCGAAAGTCGCCCGATGTAGCAGGGACGCGAGAGAATATTCCACCTGGCTGTACACAAATATTCGGCATTTTCTCGAGGATTAATTCGTTTGAACTTGTATTAATCCAGTTTCGGACGACGACGATCCGACGGGTCCAAAGTGATGACATTGTTAAACGTAAAGCCGTAGAACCGGCTATCAGAGACTTGATCAATATTAATGGTACCTGTTGATGGTTAAATATGTGCCATTATTCCTGAACTTTTAAGATCGATGGACGATGCACTCTAGAGTAACGATCACACGAACTGTCTGACAAAGTCTCTCGTGACTGGAAAACCGAGCATGTTCGGAAATTGCAAAAAGTACACATACATATATATATATATACGTATATGTCGAAGACACACCACCTCTCGTCCTACACACAGCAGTAGCGGCTATATTCGTAGCGAACGGTCGAGGGACGCGTGACATACCGAACGGGGTGGTCACGATTTTCGGATTATCATCGCTCGTGCTTGTCCTGTTTTATACGTGACGCGACTTCAGACCGTACCGCTACAGTATGTATACGTGTTCTGGAAGAAGTGGAGTCGCGTCGCGTTTTGACATTTCGCTCGTAACGCAGACGGGGAGTCGAAAGAATCAAATGTTTGGTATCCACCGCTGAGAAATTGCACCCGGGAAATGTTGCAGCGTCGCGAATACGATTCGATCGTTATCGTGATGTGTGGAAACGCGATTAATAAGCGCTTTGGAGTTGCAGAGGCGTAGCGAATTTGTCGGCTGACTCGTGCCAATTTTTCTCTATATATGCGGGGATCCGCAGCTTCTTTCCAGGAGCATGTGCTTTCTAGAGGAAGTTTTAAGCGCTTTGGATCGTGTAGACATGGCTGAACGTCGCTGCTATCGTTATTGCATGTAATTGCATTTTTCACTGGCAGGAAGCTGAATGTGCGACGCCGGCTGCTGCGTATTAAACGATCCGAAAAGTGTACTTCTTACATTTTGTTTTCACACACACACACACACACACACACACACACACACACACACACACACACACGAACGAGCTGGAACACTTTCCTGACGTGAGTTACATATAGCATCCTCCCGCTCGATTCACACATTATTGCGACCTGTCACTTCTGTTCTCGATGTTCGATATTGTTGAGTATGATTCCGTCATATTTGCAATTGCTCGCAGTCGTTGTGGATCCACTGACGATTACGTTTGGCCGAATCAATAATTGCATTGATTTCTCAATCCGCCAAGGGTCAGTTCTCTCGCGACTTAGGGCCAGTTTTTCAATAGCAGTTTAAACTTGGATTCAAGTTTAAACTCTATTTTAACAATGCGTTTGTTTTGTTTAAACAGAGTTTAAGTTAAAATCTAAGTTTGAACTATCATTGAAAAACCGACCCTCAGACGCTGAGATATGTATTCATAGTCGTTACTTGAAATTTGTCTCAAGTGAGACACTCAGGCCTGAATTTGATGTTAGATGTGAGTTCTTCAGTTGAATCGCAATCGCAAATACAATGTCACGAATATCGTGCTATTCAAATGGAAAAACTCTGATATAACTCGCGATTTATATCGGTGTATCTCGCGTGAGACTGAATTTCAAGTGAAGACTATTAATATGGGTCTGAGTCTCGCAAGAAGATAATTTTATTTTTCCGACCGGGCCGCCACCGATCCCGCCACCGATCCTTAATAACTTTAACACTGGTGCTTTTTTGGAACCGCATCGATTAAAGGATCTTTAATTCTGCAGCGTTCTCTGAAAGCATCCTGTTCGATGTTTATCTGCGCGCAAGCAACCGATCTATCTCGATCATGTAACAAGAACGCGACGCGAGAAATGCGACGCGCGCTCGGCTTCATGATAGATTAAAGGCAGATTGAATGGAGTCGGCAAAGCGTCGGTGATCGTGCAAGTCCGATAATTCGCTGATCTAATTAATGAACCCGTCGCGCCGGTCGCGCTTGAAGACTAAAACCTCTATTCGATCGGTCGACCTGGAGACCGCAAATTAGCGTGCGCTTTAATGCGTTTTGCGAGAGATCTCTCGGAAATTTGACCGCCGACTGTTCAAAGACTCGCTTTTCTCGATTGCAACTCGATAGTGTCGCCCTAAATCTAATTTAAGCAGCATCGTTGTAAATTCATTGTTCACACTACCATTGGTCAGTTTCGTAAACTTTGGATCTCTGTACCGCTTGATCGTACGGCAAAACTCTCTGTCCTTTCTTGGTCAAACACGATATATAAAGTGTTATTCGCGATTAATTGATCACGCGTGAGAGAAATCGCATTAAGGCGATACACCGGGATCTTCGATCCGCTTCACGCGGGTCAATAAATGTATGTGCGCGAATATACCGAAACGAAATATTTATCGTGCATTTGACTGTCCATTTCGTCACAAGAAAGCTCCCCCTCCCCCTTTACGATAATGAGTTTTTAGCGATGAATTTGGTTTCGCACAGCGTGCCTATTGAACTCGCACAAAGCTGTGGCTGTGCTGTTTTATACGTACATATGTATAAAAAAAGGACTTTTCAACGCGACACTCGTGATTTTGCTTTGATTGGCTTGAGCGTTTACGAAGATCATCGTCGCGAGCCTCGCTCGTCAAGTCTCTCGCTAATTGTGCGATTGTTTCGTCGTTGCAGAAAAGCCAGACGAAAGGAGAAGGATGCGGGAACCACGGAGGATCCGAAATTGTACCTGGAGGAGGCGGCCCTCGAGAGGCAGCTGCCGGAGTTGGACCTGAGGATGCTTGTGGATCTACCGCCCGGCCTGGATTACAACGAGTGGCTGGCGTCGCATACCCTCGCACTGTTCGACCACATTAATCTCGTCTACGGCACGATATCCGAGTTCTGCACCATGACGGGTTGCCCCGACATGACTGGTCCCGGCTTAAGGTACGCGTTTCCTCTTCCTCTGTGGAAATATAGTACCCCGATAGTAGTCACAGTTGCCTCTGATTTCAAGATTACTCAACCTACACCGACGGAATAGTTTTATCTAAGTTTTCACAAAAGCGTGCAAAGAGACGGAAGAATTGAATATTTAAAACGCATCTTTTATCGATTGACCCAAGTCATTTACTATCCTACGTCATAGTTTTGCGCTCGAAACGGTCGGTCGATCGGTCACAACAACTGGCAACTGATTTATCATTCCAGAACGTATCTGTGGTTCGACGAGAAGGGGAAGAAGACGAGGGTGGCGGCACCACAATATATAGACTACGTTATGACATTTACGCAACGCACTGTTAGCGATGAAACTATATTCCCTACAAAATACGGTAAGAATGATCAAGCTTTTCAGACGGACTGTGTGTTTTTTCTAATACGTTGAGTTCGCTGAAGAGCAACGCTGATAATTACTAATATATTTGCATCAGTTGTAATCATAATAAATGTTTAATTGGTTCGGCTCGAGTCAACTAAAGCTTAATTAAGCGCCAAGAGCAACAACGATTAATGTGCCGTGATATCTTTCAGCGAACGAGTTTCCAAGCTCGTTTGAGTCGATAGTGCGTAAGATTCTGCGGCTACTGTACCACGTGGTGGCACACATTTACCACTGCCACTTCAGGGAGGTGGCGCTTTTGGAGTTGCACGCTCAGCTCAATTGTGTGTTCGCCCACCTCATGCTCCTCAATCAACGCTTCAACCTTATAGATCCAAAGGAAACGGAAATCCTGGGGGACTTAGAGGCCGCCCTCTTGGGTAAGTTTTACGCCATCGGCGCGGTATTGATCGATGCCGGTTACGCAATGTGCCCGGCATCGGGAGATCCTAGAAACTAGGCGCGTTTCGAGCGAAGGAACGTTGTTCTCCTTCGAACGGTTAATCGCGAGTCGCACGTTCGTCTTACGCGAGGGAACTTTGTCGCCGCTATTAAGTCAGTTTAGTTAAACTTGCGGTTCGCATGCGGTCCGCAACATTCTCCAGTGAAGCCCGCTGCGCTCGAGAAGGTTCTCTCTCATGGAATCGATCGTGCGATTAAGGAGCAAAGCCGATTATATGCACTAGGTGTATATTTAGGCTACATTATCCGCCCCGCTACGGGAAGGAAAGGATATAGCTGCTCGATTTTATAGCTATCGATTCTCTTTCCTGCTTACAGGTGATTCGACATCCGCGCCTTCACAGACCTTAGCCATCCAGGAGACTCCGACCACAACCACCACTACCGCCACCACCACTACCACCACCTAGATCGCGATGAGTCGTAGCGAGCGAGCAGAGGTTGCAGTTCCTGAGACTAGGTGACGATAGGCGATTCGTTCGTTTGTTCGTTCGGTCTTCTTTCTCCTCTTTTCCTTTTTATAGACACTACGCGAAAAAGAAAAAGAATACAGATTGTGATGCCGTCAACGTCAGCATTTGGCAGAATCGAAGATGGCCGGAGAGAGAGAGAGAGAGAGAGAGAGAGAGAGAGAACGGCGATTCTGTAAAAAACAAGGAAATCGATACCAGTAGTACCTGTATATAGCGAAGTGTGAACAATTACATGATGTAATTAGGTTCCTCCGTTTGTTGTTTGTGAGATTGTACATAATTTATTAAATAGTAAGATATATACGAGAGAGAGAGGGAGAGAATGTGCGAGAGAAAGAGAGAGAGAGAAAGTGCGACAAAGAACGAGTATTGATTATTATTGACAAAGTTAGTTGCTATAAGAGATAATTTGTTCTGTAAAAAATGAAACAATAATAATATTGTAAAGTTAAAATAATACCAAATATATACCTGGTGTTAAGGCACGTGTTATTGGTGACAAGTCGCAAGTGAGGATGTGAATTTCTTTGCTCAAGATTCGACTTGCGCGATTCTGTTCGCGGCACAAAGAATCGCGTTGATCCTCCGGGATTAATCGCCTCTGCTGCACATTGAAAACTCTTTATCGTAAGTCTTGGATACTTAATCTAATTTCAAGCGATTTTCGTTTCTCGAAGTAATTTACTTACTTCTCGTTAGATATATTTGTAATAAGTCAAGATATTTTTTAGTGTATCACTTCATCGCCATCTGCGAGCCATCTTTCTCAAGTAGAAGTGGTAGTTGGCGGGTGAACGTGCTTCACTTCTACGAGTCTGATCGCGGCGCAAAGAGTTGCTATCTCCCTAAGAAACAGACCGATTGCTTCGGCTATCGGCTCGCAGAGATCTCTCAATGACGTGGCGATATTGTAGAATAGTATCAATATTGGCTGTATAAGAGCGTTGAACACGATGGAAAGCAGAGGTTTCACGAAGTAATCCGCTATCAACTGCAATATTCCCACTGTCAACGGCCGGATTACGCTGTACAGCACGAAACGAAGAAGCTGCAGGATAAAAGCTATGACGAATGCCGTGCCGATGTGAATCGTGCCGAAAATTTCCGCCCAGAAGCGAGTCGCCGCTTGGTCCGTCTTCTCGGCACACTTATCCGTAATTAACACAGGATGGCAATCTGTTGTTTGGTAATATCTGCAAGAAGTATAGCATCTCATTTAATCGCGTTAGTTATGCCAATTGATAGATCCTTTACGATCCCAGAAAGGGAGACTTAATAAGGAATTGATTTTAACATTAATAATTTCCAAATGTACATTAAGAAATCTTGACAAAAATTGACTGTTAATCCGAGATCGTTTTATGTTAAGTCGATTGCATTCACTCAGAGTTCCCATGATCGAAGTAATAAATCTCGATCTTCTCTACAGCTTCTTCCCTCTTGAGTTTCGTTCTCGTCTGGTGCTTGGGCAGTTTCGATTTGCCAGGAAGATCGTGGGACTTATCGTTTTTACTCGGTATCCCATCCGATATGTCACAACAGACGAAAGGCTGTTGAAGTTCACGAGCGGCATCGGCTCGCTGTTTACGCGCGCCATTTGCTCGCATTTCGGCGTAGTGAGAACATTGAATTTGCTTCAGCTTTATCTCGTACATCCTGTTCTCCTTGCCGCAATACACGTTCCTTGGCCGTTTCCATCTGAAACGGCTCCAGAACGGTCTCGATTGTGGATGTTCTAGGAAAAGTGTATACTTGACATTCGGTTCTCGCGCAGCAAAGTCAAGTTAGAAACGTACAACAGTTTTTGTGTATACCTTCCTCGAGCTTCACCGGCAGAACGTAACCGTTGCTGAAACAACAAATCTACTTTGAGAAATAAATCGGTCAATCGCAACAGAAAGCGATAGGTACTTACATTTTATGAGTGTGACAGAGACACGGGAAACTCTGCGGGAATTGCGATGTCGTTACCGCCGTAGTCGTCGGGTGCGGATTCCTCGGACTGTCCTGCTGCGATTGGCGATCCAGTTTTATCGGAACCGATTTCGCATTTCCACGATGACTCGTACCTGGCGGCGTATTTGGGGAATATTCGCGACCCGTTTCTGCACACGAGATAGTTGTATTAATGGAATTAGATTAGGAGAAACGGTGAGTGACAATTACGATTTTATTTTTGTGAAGAGAATTTAGATACCGATCTCATTTACAATGAGATAGACAGTTGTCGGATAGCCTGTATAACTTCAAAGCACTTAAGGAACGCGTACCTTTAGATTTCTCAGCGGCGTCATTTCCGTTGCCGCTCGTTTTGGCGTACAGATGCGCGCCGGAATTCCTGGTAGAGTTTACGTCATCGGTATGTAAAGAGGTTATATTGGACGGTTCCGTCGTGTCGGTGCAGGAACAATCACCTTCTGTAACCATGTTAAACACGTGTCCTCATGACAGAACGCATAGAACGGAAAATTAAAGTAACAGCAATTAACATCAAGTAACGTAAAACTGAACTGTCGGAACAATGGCAAAGACAAAAGCGATTTGCATTTGCATGCGTAATATATATGTAGCACGTATTCGTCATATCGTATGTCGACGTAAGTCATATCGTGTTCGATGAAATGTTAACTAATGCCACGTCGAGGCAGCTGATTAAAGGTTGTAGCACTTTTTCTCTGTAAATTTCGTAACGCATTCCATTTTCAATAGGAGAATGTTTTTTTTAGTCATTCTCAGAAAATCTCCTATTTTCTTATTGGGTACGGAATGCATATTGGAAATTCATTGAGGAAAAGTTGAACTTTTACACTTAATCAACCGACTGTGTATTTCAATATAAATCCTAAAACTGAATATATAAATATTCAATTTATTTTAAATGAACCGCCATTAACGTTTCTATCGTTGCAGATCCCCGCCAATAGTGAAGCGCATGCGTGCGAAAGTGGCGCGCTCCCCTGTCCAATCCTATGATGAGAAATCGAGGGAATTTTTCCGCGATAGAAGCCCTTATATGCATGCGTGAAGTGACGTAAAGCGACGTAGCAATTTCCCTAATGAGAAAAATTAATAACATATAATAATAATATTAACATTATGTAAGAATTATGTAAAATTTAGGATTATTGATATATTTTTTTGTTGTACTTATATGTATCTTAAAAAATCTGTATGAATATGTAGTGTATTTTTATATAATGTACGATTGTGTTTTATATATTAAATGTTATTTATTATGTACAATTAATTAATTAATTAATTGTTTATTGTTTTAGAATACTCATAAGGTTTTCTGCACTTTTCTTTAACTTTACGACAAATACTGGTATTTGTGTAATAAGTTAGCTGCAAACATTACAAAAGAAAATACTAAGAGTTTATTGTTATTTATAGTCAGCATTCTGTTTCTTCAACAAAAATTTTCTTCCCTCTCTACAATTCTTTTCATATTTTCTTTCAGACTAGAGATCTTAGGATACCTTATAATAGATACGCCAGTGAAGCTATCATAGCGTTTGTCAATGCGCCTGCGCAAGAAATTCCCTCGATCTCTCATTATTGGTCTAATCGCTTGGTAGTTCTGCGCGCGGTGCACTCCACCTTCATTGCAGTTAAATTCGCTTTCCGGAAAGGACTGACAGAACGTGTGGTCCATTCTTCGTGGTTTTTCACCTAGTAAAATGACGTAAGTACATGATTCTATCGCAATTAATTCCTTTCCAAAAGCATACTTGGTGAACAATAATAGCCATAAAGCGGAAGGAGAGTCAAGTTCACACTTGGTGAGGGCAGTATGAATCATAACATTTGCACCTCAATCCGTATTGGCAAACTTGTCTCGTGCAAAAAAAATTTGATCTGTTTAGTGTTTATATTTATTAATTACTTACACATTTAAGTTCCTTTCTCCATGTAAAAGTGTCTTAGAAGATTATTAAAGAAAAAACTGAAAGAGATGCAAATTAGTGGTGAATCCATGAAATTTTGTTTTGTACATTTTGTACAAACTTATTCAGATCTCATCAAAATTCTTTTTAATTATAAATATTTGGAAATGGAAAATCTCTTTATGAATTGAAACAACATGTCGGTGCATAAATTGAAAAAGATAATCACATTTAGGATGAAATCATAACTTATGAGCCTGCTGATAAATTATAATAAGCATCTTTGATACGTTGTAAGAAGAACTAAATATAATATAATAAGACAAAAGAGTATAAAAATATGTAAAAATTACATATATTTAATTGTTTTATTTGGAGAATATTACAAATTCTTTGTCTGATATTCTGTTAATGTGCATAACAAACTAATAAAACATACGTAATATTATTTAGCACATAATATTCTTTAATGTTTAATTTATTGTATATATTATTATGCATTTGTTAATATTGCATGTATTAACATTTTGTATACAATACATATAATACTGGTAGCGTTAGAATTTTAGATATTGTAAGAAAATTGTTTTTCTTAAATATTATTAAATATTCATATTAAAAAAGCCTAGATACATATATTTACTTAGATTTTAATCAAATTGAGGAATATCACATTTAGCTTAAGATATAAATTTTCATTCTTGGTAATCAGCAATACTCCGACAAAGCTAAAGTCAACAGTATCCCATATATGAATACAGGTATACATTGAAGAAGCTTAACAGAAACAAAAATCATGTGAAGAAGTTTAAAAATACATTGACTGTTCCTTTTGATGATCTTTTTAACAGTCATTCTTTTTCCTAAAACATTAACATTATTTCATATTTTATGAACAATAATGGTCATTAAGCAGAGAGTCGTTAATCAAATAGATTCCCTATGTGCTTGATTATAACAAGGCTAATGAATTCTCCAGTTTGTTATTCCACCAGTATTTGGTGGCTAGTAAGATCGATTGAGTCAAAGTTCATCAGATTTTAAATGGAGGAGGTATGTAGTCGCAATCACAATTACATGATTTCACTATCCGATGTAAATTGCTATTGTTGTTAACGTTTTCTTTTTGTTTCGCAGGCGTTGTGTCTGCTGGTGGCAGTCGGACACGACGAAACAATACCTATAAAGTTCGCACGAAGCGTACATCTTTTAACAAACTTCTCCGCTGAAGAAACACCAGTAGAACGTGCGTTCGCTGCACATCAAGTTGACCAACGCAACGAGTGTATTCAGTAACTATATACACTAATGTACACACGCTACAATAAAAATCGAAAAAGAAACGAGAAACCGATGGATTCACTCCTGCCGCGTCGTATCTCATGTTTGCGATAAAACTTCTAGCACTATAGCTTGATATCAACTTTGGCAAATTTTGAAAGTTGCGATAGGATAAGAAGCTTTTATGCAATCGCGTTATATTGCGAATATGCGATAATATAAAGTGGTCACTTGGGTAAAGTCCTCATGGATGAAAAGGTATAGACTTATCTCAACTTTCTTCAAGAAGATATGCGTACACTTGTGTACGCCTGTTTTATGCTTTGTAAATTGTAAATTTAAACATCAACGAAATTTAATTTTTTTTATTTATTTGTTGTAGTATAAATTAACAAAGTAGCAATGACTAAATTAATGCTCTTCGAAAGATCACTATTAATTATTTTAAAAGTTCCAAAGGCCTGTGAATAACCGAAGGTAACACAAGCATATCTAAATCGGCTAATTTATATTCTTTTAATTCGTAAATATATACGTAATATTTTTTTGTTGTAACTAATCAGATATGAGAGTGTAATTATAGCGACAATGTATCTTACAATTATGACGATTCGATATGCTTTGAATGTACATTATTCCAATTATTCCCTGCTATTCAGTTTTTAAAGTTCCCTCATTCGTCTAGTTACTTGTTTCCAAACCCTCCAGTAAAACATAGATGAGATACTACACACATGTTCAGCGCTAACGCAGCGGGCGATAAAGGAAGGGAGCCAGGCCCAGAATCCTGCTTCTTTCGGGACTTGGTTCACACGAAGGTAGATGTACCTGCTTGCGCGTGTGTATGTGGGTCCTACAGGCCTGACTACAGGGCACACCATTGCCGAGCTATTTCCAAACGATCTTTGTGGGGGCAGTACGGCGGCGGTCGCTGCGCTTTGAAGGAGCACATGGTTTCAAGTTCCGCCTCGTAAGCAGATGCCAGCGTAGCTGAGAACCCGCGTTTAACGTTCCGCTTCCTCTTTTCGCATTTTTACACGTACGAAGCTCGCGAAACTATCCCGCCGTGTGCGCTGTGTTCATCAATTTTCTCGGGATCTCTTCAGGACTCCTGGAGAGCAATTCATTCCTCCCTGCGAGCTCCTTGGAATATTCCAACACCAATGGAGTAAAGTAAGTATCCGTATAAGTTTTTTAATTCATATCCAATTTATTTCCGAGATAAATACAGTTAGATAGATAGAACTTGAATAAAAATTTATTGAGATCGAATGCTTTTTTTTATATTTATATATAAAAGCATTTTTTATATTTATATATAAATGTACGAATTGTATTAGTTAGTACAGACTGATTAGCAGTTAAATCACATGAAATCTTATCATACATTTTGAACAAGTCTCTAACAAAAAATTCTTATCATAAATCATCGATATCAAGATAACGGTATTCTTTTTTCGTTTTAAGTTTTAAGATTGGAAACGAAAGGTCTGTTTGTGAACTATAAAGTGGAATAATATGAAAAGATAATGAAACTATTGTTTCATATTTGTTTCATTTTGTTTCATATTTAATTACAAGTGGGAGGTACTTTATGGTGTAACAATAAATAATTTTTACCTCAGAGTTCCGACAAGTATTTTTGTGCTACCCAGCGATAACAAAAGATATATATGAAAGAGAAGGAATTTAATTTATTTTAATTGATTACACGAATAAAGCCATTATCGCACTCGACAAAGTGATTTTCTGATAGAGCGATCTGATTTTTATTTCCGATAAAACTGTCGCTTTTCATAAATCGCGATAATACGACGACATCGATGCGTATTTACATGTTTTTGATGACCGGCGCGAGAATAATCGCTGATAGCGTTATCGAGCTGCGCGACGCGGAAAATTCGGTGATTAGTCGGCAGAAGAACTCGTTGACTCAACAGTTTATACACATCAAAACCTCGATAGAATAACAATTGACAGAGAGAACACACGAAATTATACTGCACAATGCGAATCGTCCAGAAGTTCGCGCGGAATCGAGATAATTCCTCGCGAGATTATCAGAGATATATAGACGCAAAAACCCAAACCCTCGCTCCTCTGCGTTCCACTTCGTGAGAGGTGGAAAATGCGAGAAATCGTATATGCGACGCGGGATATCGGCTAGCCGGCGCTTGTATTTGTTTAATAAAGTGACCGCGAAGAGTGTACTCTCCAAGCGAGTGGACTCCAGCTCGTTATCAGCGATATCAACTAGCAGAACGGAGAGACGACCAACCGGGCGGAAGGCTGTTAACGAGCCGTGTGGTTGGGCAATGATTATCGAAAGCACTGACAACTGCTGATGACGACGGCGAGTCACTGACGCTCCTCTCCACCTTTTTCAAACAGTCGTGGAGAAACCCGCGGGCCGATGCTATCGTGAGCGTGGATTATCTATTGGGCGATCGCGCGCGGAATCGATAACACGAAATAGAGCGAACGTATGAGTGAGTGTTGCTTCTCAATTCGGGCTATGAGAGGAAAAAAAACAGGAAAGAGATAACACTGCTGCTGATCAATTCGAAAGAATGCGGTGCTTAATGAAACTGCAACAGTAAATACTCAGCATCAGGGGATCAGTCATATTATAATCAGTCATTTGCGCGATAAAATACATAATGTATGAAATATTAATATGTAGATTACTTTCCGCCGCACTGCGAAGACGATATTTTACCATTGACAACAATTAACGCTATCTCGTATAGTTTTATTAATTTTTGCAAGTTGCGAGCGAATCTGTATACATTCTTATTCGTGCGCGAATATCACATATTATGTTATAATTGAATATCGATTGTCAACGGTGAATTCGATGTGATCCAGTCGCTTTGAATTGGAAAAAATTATATTTCAAGTTTTGAGAGACTTTTTATTAAAATTAACTTCCTGAAATCTTCTCTTTTGGAAAATTTGTCAGTGCAGAAGTGCGTGGAATGTAAGAGAAGAAGAAATTTCACAAAAGTTGGACATATTTCTTGAGTCATCACGCATGCAATCCTTTTAATGGGCGTGAAAGGAAACAGATATGACTGCGGGTAACCATCAGCTTCCAAAGCATTTCCGTCCTGCGTTATAAGCTGACTGTGCTACATTTTAACGGATATATTCATGCTTTTGCATTTTTGAGGAAAATAGTTTTGAATATTTCATCGCAACTCTGAAGAAAATAGTATCGTGCACGTAAAATTATATAAAGTAGGTGCTCTAGATTATTTAATGATAATAATTTAATATTTTATCTTCAGGTTGATAATACAATGAATATGAGTATGAATATATGAATATGAATATACGAATATGAATATATGAGTTTCCGGTTTTGTAGTCCAAATGTGCTTTGTTTAGAACAAAATCGTAGATTCCGTTTGGGAATTTTTTATTTCATTTAAAATCAATTTTTCCTTTTACCAAGTAACACAAATAAAATTGTTTTCTAACAATCAGGATAAAACTAACATTCAATTTTTCTCTACTTGCAGCACGTCTTAGAACATGATTTTTGAAAAACGCTTAGTGCTGCTCGTTCACGTTCTTTGTTTTCTCTGCGCACGTTGCGATGATGATACATTCGCGTCGTCATGGACCACGAGCTCCACGTCAATGGAGCCAGACTACAATACTGAATCTACGGAAAATTACACATGCTGTGATTCTACGTCCATGGCGAGTCTCACGAGCCAAGATCTTGGACCTACAGACAGCCTCGATGGTTCCACGATTCACGAAAATTTGACTATGGACGACATGCATAAGGTAACCACCAGGGATGGATCCTCGACGACTAATTTTCAGATCGATACCGATGAGTCGTCCTTTTCGACTACTGAATATACACAAACTATTACGACCACCGACGATGCGACCTCTTCGACCACGATGAAGTCAACCTGTAATTCTGTGTGGCCAATAAACGCAACGGGTAATTAATGCGATTCTTATTAGAAATCAGCAAAACATCTGTTGATGGAAATTAATAGAAATCTAATTTGACGTTTTTACTTATTGTACATATTAATATATCCGTGTATTATTTTATATTATTATATATTATTTTATATTTTTTGTAGAAGACACGAGGGAAGTGATTAACTTGAAGGAGGACGAAATAGGCACGGAATGGATCAAACTGTCGTGGGAACCTCCGTGTAAAACGAACGATCGTAACATATCGATAATGTACTTGGTCGAAAGATGCGACCATGACAAGAATTGCAATGAGACGAACGAACACAACACATCGCACAATGCGACCAATCTCGATGCGTGCACGCAGTATACGTTCACTGTGAAAATTATCACGGATTATTGGAGATCTGATATTGGAGCCCTTTTACAAACATCGACAAACGATACTAGTAAGTATATTGATCCACATTGATAGATCCACAAGAGATCAAAATTTAGTTGGAATTAATCCATTCAAAAGAGATTTTTTTACACTCACAACATGACACTCGGCGATACTCGTTAGTAAATATAACAGTTACTAAAAGCATATAAGTAACTTTATATCTTTATTAATATCTTTATTAATAAAGCAGTAAATCATATTAATTACTCTTAGTATCCTTATTAATAAAATATTCTTTCTCTTCCAGTTTCTGAAATCGGAGAGGTACGCTCTCTGAGTGTGGGCGCCGTCGACGTCAGTAGCGTCCAATTAACTTGGCTAGCGCCCGAGAAACACGCGAAATGCATATCGAATTACTCGATCGTGCAGTGCATCGGGCAATCATGTAATGAGACCGCGGTCTTCGTCGTAAATTATACCGCTAGCAATCTCGAGCCGTGTACGCAGTATAAGTTCAACGTTAAAACGGTGACGCTAACCGTGGAATCCGTCGGTGTGAGTGTAAACGCGACAACAGCCTCGCCGAGTGAGTATTAAGTGTCTCGGAATTAGCGGAAAGTGGACACGCTGCGTCCACAGCGTTAAGTCCACTTTCCGTCGATTCTAGGACAGTCTGTGCGTCGTTCAACATTCGCACAAATTCCCTTCCGATTCGCCAATTTGCAGTACCGTCGGAGCCGCAATCCATGGAGATAATACCGAGCAATTTCTCCTTGACCGTCCAATGGGAGCCACCGCAGTCTGGCTTGACTTGTCTAAAGCATTACCAAGTGACTATAATGCCCAAAAATTCTACTTCCAGAATTAAAGAAACGAACATAACGTTCACGGATTTGTATTCTTGCACCTTGTATACCGTATCTGTCAACGCAGTAAATGAGGCTGATCAAAATGGAAGTGTGCTCATCAAAAGTAACACGACGACTCGGACTAGTAAGCGCGATGCTTTTGCCGTACTCATTACCTCACTTCACTCACTTACATTAAACGTTAACGTAATTTACAATAATATAAATAACAATACATCTGTATTTCAGGAAAAAATCCGCCATTATTGCATGATCAAGGAGATTTGGTTGCCATGAATAGCATATCGTTGGTCGTGAGTATCGAGGAAGATAATAATCATTGTCCGTTAATCTCCCTAATAACCATATGCAATCATACATCGACGAACGGGACTGGGTACGAGCTTTTGATCGGTAGATCCATAGAAAACATAACTTCGGAGGGTCATGAAGGTTCTCCCCTTGTTATGAACACGACCGTATCGGATCTAAGTCCTTTCACGGAGTACATTTGCAAGTCGTACATTTTTAATACAGCCGGGCCCAGCGACTTCAGTAATGGAATTGTCGCTCGGACAATGGAAGATGGTGAGCGCGCGCGCGTTATTATCGTAACAATATTTTAATTAGCTCGCAATTGATTTAGTTACTAATAACTACATTAATTATTTATCGACTTAATAATACTGTTTCGTATTAGAAATCGTGTTTAACATAAATTGCTACAATATTGAACGATATAAATTTACTCCAATGCGTTAACGCTCTGATTTGTTGTTGATTTCAGTGCCCTCTTCGCCTCTGTTGCGCGTCACGAAAATCACGGAATCGCAGTTCTCTCTAACTTGGAGCGAACCGGAATATTTACCCGGTATCGTGGAAAATTACGAGATTATGCTCTCTTGGACGCCGCTTTTCCCTATTCCGGCTTGGTGCGCTTCCGAAACACCCAAGAACGATGAGATCGTAAAACTTAACGATACATTATCTTATGATTATGACAAAGTGAAAGCATACAGGCAATACAACATAACGATGAGAGCAAAAACGTGTGCGGGATGGGGAAATGTTAGTGTTCCTCAAATAATCCAAAGCAAAGCGGCAAGTATGTTTCGTGTCCTATTTTTATTTATTTTGTTATATATAGAAATCGCTGTTAATCTCTTAAGGGGATGCTGAAGCTGAAAACTTTACCGACAGAACACTGACATTTTTCTGTAAAGTGTACGTCGTATTGGTTACACAGAATTACAAATGCTTTTACGCAATGAAAATATGTGCAAAGATAAATTGGAGCATTGCTCGATATGTGACGAAAAGGGACAAAAAATTTTTAATGTAAAATCTCAATCTATCAGCGTAATATTTGCCTAATCCAAAAGTTTCGCAGTTTGTACATGCCGAAAGTGTAGATGCTCTAAACAGAAAAATTTTGAAGAACATTGCTTTACTCTCGCATCTGCTTTTAAAAGCTTAAATATATCGAAAAAGTTTGCAAAAAGATTTCTACACATATATGGTTAGGTTTTCCGTTATAGTAAAAAATATAGTAAAACAAAGCAACATACATTCATGTAAATTCTGTATATGCAAGAAATACAAAAAAAATAGCGTGATTATGTTAGTGACGATCGTCTCTGCATTATTGACATTGTTCGAGTTCGTCATCGACTCCAGTATCCTCTTAAGTGCTGAGCTATTTTTGTGTATTACTTCATCATTTTACGTTCGTCGTTTTATCATGAAAAAAAAAGAAATATATATATATATATATATATATATATATATATATATATATATATATATATATACGCTTTATTAATAGATACTATGTGTATCTTATTTCTCTTACTGTTCTAACATTGTGTATTTATTCAGTTTCAGGTGCAGTCTCGAAATTGACATACACTATCCAAGAGAATCCGAACAATATAAATATATTAGACACGATTGTATCGTGGGGTGTACCATGTTCTTTAAACGGTGAACTCGAATTTTTCAATGTGTCGGTTCACGGTATTAGAGACGGATACGACAATCACACTTTCTTCATATTAGAGAAATGCATCAATTACGAGGATGATTACATGTGCTTGGTAAATCTGCAAGAACTAAGGGGAGATTATAATTACACCTTTTCGGTGTATCCCAAAACTTTACAAATCGATGCGCTCGGACCAGTGACTAGTAAGGATGGCATATTGTATCCTCCTGGCAGTAAGCATCAATTCTTAAATAATTTATTTCACTTATCTTGAAATTATCCAAAAGGATATATCTGATAATTTTGATTTTAAAAGAGTCAACGTCCAATTTTGGACAGTCGTATAAATTGACAAAGGTATTAACACTTTTCGACATATTTAACGTCCAAACGTTAGTTAGCCCAAAATTCGATTTTGTATCCTCTTGGAAACGAGTCACGCGTGCGTATAAATATGTATAAATATTTAAAAGATTCTTCTTTGTCGCAGTACCACCACAGCCGGAAGAGCAATACGTGACGTGGATCACCATAAATCCTTTCAAGGCGATCAAATCAACAACGACGGCCGCTGTTTTGCTGCCCTTGTTTCCTGATACAAACGGCACTGTCAAGTACTACGCCATTATGGTGTCGGAATTCGGACACAATAAACCGACGAGCATGAGGTTCGATCTGACGAAAAAGCCATGGCCTAACGTGTTCTCGTGGAAGGAGGCCATGATGAGCGACTTCTCCATAACGTATCAAGCGACACGTCCAAAGTGGAATCCTTATCGTAGGTGATATGTCCGTGCAGACATAGGATTACTGTTTGCGAAGCGCGAGACTCGAACGTCGCACGCGCACGTTGCATTGTTAAATATTCAACGACTCCTTTTTCAGCGGACTATGTAGCTGATTATGGTAACATAAAAGCCGTCAAGTTTGTAATCGGGGCGGAGGACATCTGCAAGGATATCTCGTTTAATGATGTAAACGGACCGCTCTATTGCAACGGGCCCCTCAAGCCGAATACATGGTACCACGTTAGCATGAGGGCATTCACCGACGGTGGCTACGCCGATTCCAATTTGTTCGTGGTAAAAACTAGTGAGTACGGCGTAGTTGTAGCGCATGTTCGATAAATGAACGTCCCTCTTCAAACAAATTATATAACGAAAGCGCGAATATGCGTGCCATTTAATTTGTTCTCTTTTCCATAATTCGTAATATCAGACGCAGAACTGAATGTCGCTATCGTCATTGGGATCGTCTTTGGCATTCTCTCCCTGGGAATATTGACGACGATGATGTTGCTCGTGCGGAAATGCTCGCCGTATGTGTAAGTTATAACTCCGTTATTTTTATGCATCAAGAAGCGAAAAAATAGACGGTAGTGTCGATAATGTAAAAGTAAATGTTGCCACGTGAATCCTTGTCGGAGAATCACTATTCCTGTAATCAAATGTGGTTCCTGCAATGCGCACATCTCGAATTGCATTATCCAGTAAACATCAGCTATCAGTAACATAATATTGGTGTTACAATTTCCTACCCGACAGTATATAAATACAACACGAGTGCTATGCAACAGTTACATTGTTGTTGGAGTGGGAAATTATAACATTGATATGTTACTGTTAGTTGGTGTTTACTGGGTACATATCGTTCAACCCGTTCTATACACTGTATAGCGAAATAAGATACAATTTTTCTAATCACTCCGAATTATGAGCGAAAGCGTTGAAATTCGCATCAAGTTTTGAGAAGAATTATCGATCGGCGTCGTTTTGCGTGATACCAATATTGAAAATCCCAACACGATGACGCGGTCATGCGCGCCCTGAAACGCACATAGCGTTCCAGGTAGACGCGTTTATGAACAATGATCAATATTTATTCTATGACTCACAGAAGAGGAGACTATAGCTAGAGCGTATAAGCAAGGTCACTCGGTGCACGCGTCTATCATACACGTTAAGATATACAGCACATTAGTCGGGCTGAGCGCTGTGAATGAGGTGTTAGTTTGACCGTCGCTGCGCTATCGCAAGAGCTAGGTACCGAAACGGGTATTTTTATCATGGATATTTTTGAGCATGCATGAGACAAAGGTGGATAACGTGATAGAGACAGTGTCGTTATAACGCTCGCTATATCGACATCGCCAGGAATTCGGTTATGACTTGGAACTTCCGGAGAGGCAATTCGTTGTTTTCGTTTCTAGCTAAGTGCGTACGTCCGTTGCGTAAGCTTTTATATTGTTTCGCGCCGCTACGACCGAGTGCCGACGAAGAGAAAGAAAAAACACATGCACATGTATGGAGCACAAGTGCTACTACGCACATTTCTACTCGTCTTTTTGACAATTATCATAATAATCGTTAGGCTCACGAAGATACTGATTCTATATGCTTATTAACTTTTTTTATGTTTTGTGTATCAGGATTATCGTTTCTTGTATCATCGCGTATTTGTTTTTGTCGCGTATAACTCACTAATAAGATAGAGAAGGAAAAACGGATTCTTGGAACAGAAATCATCTGTGAATATCATCAGACAGGATAAACCAAAGCGAATCGAATCAAAATAAGCTGTGGTGCAGTTGTCACTAGTATTTTGTTTCAAACAAGAGTTATTTTTTGCACATTTGAGACAAAATTTTCAAAGCTCATTTTGATCCGATTCACGTTGGTATATCCTATATTGTACCTACTTATATGATTAATTTATGTTTCGGTGAAATTCGTGTTTTAATCGCAATACTTATTATTCCAGAGTGTTACGAAGATTTTTACATCCCGACATGCCCGGTTCACCTGTACCAGCACCGTTCACCAGAAAGAAATTTATAGCCCACTGCCAACAATTGATTGACAATCCTGGGAAGCTCAGTAATGAATTTCGACTGCTACAGACGCTCAGCGTCGATTTGCAGATGCCGACGAATGCTGCCTGCTTGCAGGCTAATCGAAAAAAAAATCGTTACTCTGATATTTTGCCCTGTACGAAATCAATCTTATGATTCTTTCTAGTCCCGCGCGCGACTTGCATGAAATGTTACATGTGATTCACACTTTTAGATGACTTCTCAAGAGTGAAGCTGGACGTAATAGACAATGATCCTAATACCGATTATATCAACGCATCGTTCATAAGAGTAAGTACTCTATCTGGTGCCCGATAATATGTATATCGGTGCAAGAGATAATATCTCTTTGCAATTGGCAAATAAAATGATTTTTTTTACAAGAATGTCGTCAGATATGAATAATTGTTCAACTATAATCAACTGAAAGAAGAAAAGACATCTTTATGATAATTTATGTTCCCATAATGCAGACAGATAACGACTAAATAAACATAATTCTTCGTCTAATGAAGACGTGATTTGAGATATATTTATTGAGATATTCGATTTTTAAATCTGAAGAATCTGAAGAATCTCATGGCATTTCTGTAGAAAAAAAATGGGAGCGTCCCGATTGACTACGGTATGATTGGACACCACCAACCAGTGCAAAGAATTATCTAGTGAATTATCAGGTCGAACTAATTATTATAATATGTCCAATCGTACCGTAGTCAATCGGGTCCCACCCAAAAAAAGTCATCACAATTTTCAAGAAGAGATATTTCTGTTTACTCCTTAAACTCGGCTTATCAGAGACTATATAAACATAATATGACAGATAACATAAATCGATTTTTCATGAAATATGTCATCGTGTGTTTCAGGGATATACAGGAGAAGATGAATACATAGCTTGCCAAGGTCCGAAGGAAGAAACTACTTATGATTTTTGGAGGATGGTCGATCAGTATAACATTAACATTATAGTTATGCTGACCCAGTTGATCGAGAAAGGCAAAGTAAATTCCGCTTTTCGGTAATATTCACGTAATATGCAGTATCCTCTTTTTGCACACTGATCTTTCCCTTTTTCAGGAGAAATGTCATCAGTATTATCCAACGATTAGAGAAACCTTCCGATACGAGAACATGACGATACGTTGTACGAGCGAATTAGACTTTAGAACATATACTCAAAGAACACTTGTATTACAAAAGGTTTGTGATAAAAAGATAGCGTGCACACATAAAGAAAAATATTCACATATAAAACGTGTTTATATCAGTGATAATAATTACAGGAAAATAAAAAGAGAAGCATTATTCAATTGCATTTCAAAGACTGGCCCGATCATGACGTTCCGGAGGACTTCGATCCAATGATTAATTTCTGCCAGATAATGCGTCGCAATATTACCGCAAATAAAGGTTTCGTTGTCGTTCATTGCAGGTACAAATAAATACGATTAAACCGCGAACCGTTTAAGCTGATAACTTATAACTAATCAATAACGGGGAAACTAGTCAAATATGGAACATTATTCTTTTTTTTACAGTGCAGGGATTGGCAGAACAGGAACGTTAATAGCGATAGATATTCTCCTACAACATCTCAGAGATAATAGGAAATTAGATGTTTTCGGGACAGTGTATAGATTGCGGCACCAGAGAATAAATATGGTGCAGAGAGAAGTAAATAATAAACATATCTTTCTGTGTATTAATATTTATATAATGCAGAAAATATATAAATTTTTATATATTTGTAGAGTCAATACGCTTATATATATAACTGTATCAAGCAAGTACTCAAGAATCCTTATTTCTTAAAAACTTGTAAGTAATTTTTATATATTATGTCTAGTACTTTTTTTTTTTAATGGAGATCTATAATGATAAATACATTCACATAGATAAGCCGCCTCCGGTTGAACCAGTGTATGAAAATATCTCGAAAAAAGTCAAAGACACAGCAAATACAGATGCAAATCTAGTCAACAATCTTGAAATACGTATGTAATATATCTTATATATGGTTAATATGGTTTCTTAAACAATTCTTTCTCTTATGGTATTATTAATGGTACTGAAAAAAAAAGCACGGTAGAAATAACATTAATTTATTTTGTACTACAGAATGAGAGTCTCCGACTATAATTTAACACATGATGAGGTAGGAACAAATGCTTGGAGCTGTCTTCTGTTTTCGGTTTGCTGTCTTCTCTTGTTGCTTGTTGCTCTTGTCTTGTTCAATGCACTCGTTATTTTTCTCATGTTATCTAATAATGTGTTTAAACACACTCACATGGTAACTTCCATTGTCTCTCTGCATATATTTGGTGAATAAATTTTCTGGCATGTATACCTGCTTTGGTCGTTTATTTCATTGTGGATAGGACGTGGTTATGCAATGTAGAATAAACAATGATTTCTAAGATTTGATTCTGCATTAAATAATTTACAAACATACACACACAAATTTCATCACAATTTAGTAAAATCTATAATATTTTTAGAAACCATCTAACTCATTACTGTTGACAATATCCTAATTTTATGAATTCTATTTAGACTGTAATTTGAAGATATATTCAAACAATAGAATTTTCAGAAAAGCAATTATGTTTGATCAAAACATCTTCATGAAAAAAAAAAAAAACTAGAAAATCATATGCTACATTAAAATACCTGTTATAACATTATAATACCTGTTCTCCTAGAAAGGTAGTTAAAAAAATTTGGTATTCACAATCGGTTACGTATTGCATAATTACGTCCAATTATTGTGTTTCTTAATCTACTGCATAATTATATATGTTGTTTCAGTAAAAAGGTATAATAGCTCCGTATCTATGGAGTCTCTGGAAACAATCCACAATCTCTTTCCTTATTCATGTGCAGAACATCAAAGAAGTGCGATAAACAGTGGTAAGAGTAGAATGCAATTTTGCGAAAATTAAGCTATTGTACGTTGGACCGAAGATTAAATAGCGCGAGAGGGAGAAGCAATTTTGTCCAATATATGATTCATTGGTTGCGTTTGAACAGGAAGCGTTTGTTAGAACACTTTTGAATAAATGTTTAATATATGACTTAATAACATAAAGATTCGACTGATGTATACTAGATTTAACTAGAAGAGCTGAAACTGCCAAACGCAACCATTGTATACGTGTTTATTTGTATCACGCGAAGAAGATTTCGTTTCACGTAATTTTGCTTTAAGGTTTGAGGCAATACAAGTCAATGGATGCCATAGACGCAAAAAGTCACAGCATTATAGGTGAGTGGAGGTATTTTTTTAATTATATCTTTATTTTAAAAATTATATTGACTTTTTTCTTTTTTTGTCAGAAAAAGCCCGAACTTTGGAAAGCGTTATTTATAAATCATTAAATTTGAAGAATTCAATGTGCAAACTAAGCAGTCAAAGCTTAACACAAGAAAGTTATCCATTGATAACTTATTCAAAAGAAGCTGATTTACTCAGCGACAGTTCACAATATGCAACAGACAGTAAGTTCCATTCTTCTCTATTGAAACATGCATTTTATTTTTCTTTTTAACTATGAAGATTTATAAATATATTTTTATTTTTGCAGATTTGTGAAAGAGATGACTGGATTATACAATTTCCACGTATCAGAGAATACATAGATCAAGACAATTTGTAATTATATGTAAATATATATTCTTATAATCCAGAAACTCTTAGAATAAGGATATGTTCAGTTTAATCATGCACATACTGTTTTGGTGCAAATAATCAATTTTGCGCGAACATTCCCATGTATGAGCATATATGACACTAGAGTATATTATGTGATATTGATAAGTGTAATACCAGCAATGTTACCTGACATATGCCTTAAATAATTTAGCCCAATTAAAATTGGATAAAATGAAAGCAGAGATTGTCATTAAAAGGAATTACGAGTATATTTGTAAATATCAAATAAGGAATTTTGTAGTCAGTTAATAAGAATTATAGATATGCATATAATTCATGCATTTATCAATTTTTATATTTATTAAGACTATTAATTAGAATTGAATATAATTTACTTAATTGAATTCATTGGATTCATTCAACTTACCAGGTTTTAATGTAAAACAGAAGTATAGCATTAATATTTTTTTAATATTAAAGTCCGATATATTTTCTATATAAATTAATATCTGTACTTGGTTGAATAATCTTTAGGTGATACAACTAAACCTCGACCTTTTCTCGCACCTCTATAAACTGTCTCGATGATGTCAATCATTTCCTGCTTGTCCTCCAAAGTCCAATTAATTTTATTATTGTTCCCTGTGCCTAAATCAATCATTATGTGCTTGTTTCTGAAGAAGAACATCACTGTGCATGGGTCATATAATTCATACCTAAAAATTACATTATATATCATTATTACATTATTTTAGTGTTAATTAATTTTTTAGTTAATAGTATTCCAGAATTATTAATATAAAAGCATTGAGTAAACTAAGTTTCAACAATAATTAACTTAATCTTATTTTAATTTCCTTTAATGTGTTAATAATTATTTAATATATTGTTTAGATAAGAAGGAAGTTGCTAATGTAGTATAGGTTTTACTACATATGCAAATTCAAGTATCTACATACATTTTATTAAAATCTGGTACTTTTGTGATATCAACCAAATAGATAACAGCGAAATTTTTAACTTTTTCTGCAATATTATAGAGAACTTCATCCATTTTCATACACATTGGATCCCAATCATGACCAAAGCGAATAACCTGGTGAAATACATAAAAATATGTAAATTATGATTAGAATTGATAATTAATTATCTACTGTTTAATATAATTTTTAATCACATTATGATTTTACACACAAATATTACATTATCTTCTTTTAATGTTGTTCTATGTGTGTTTCATCAATTAATGTATCTACAAAGTGACGATAAAAAAACATTTAGATTTATAGTATCTTCACAAATAAGAATTATTAATTTTGATATATACTTTTACACACTGAGATATGTTTACAGGATCTTAACAGATATTAGAGAAATAACTTGATAATAGAAAATTAACTTGATATACAAACTTAAAAGCTGATTGTTCCAACATCTTGGTAAGCTATCTGGCAGTTAAATCATATGTCAGTTAAATATCTGTCTTTGTTTTTCCCTCAAACTGGACAAAGACATACACAAGATGTTGAGTAGCTTACCAAGAAGTTGGAACAATCGCCCATAAATGATAATAAACGTAGAGGTTAAGTATGAACATTCGAAAACTTACCACTACTCTGTCTTCTTCCGACAAAATAGCTTGATCGACTTGAAATCCATTTTCCAAGTGTGACAGCATGTAAGACATATTGTAATGTGTAAAATATAAAACACGCGTTTAAAAAACTATCCTACATGACCTGGGAGCTTATTAGCCCCGATCTACAATAACCCCTTGTCTACGTCTGATACGTCGTACATATGTCAGACATCTAAGGGTGCCGTCCCATTGAGCACGGATCGGAACGCCGGATCGGATTTCTTACTATAATGAGCGTTCCGTTCTCTAGTTCCGTTCCGTAAAAGTTTCCTCTACCAGTCCCATGTAGCAAAAACGGAACGGATTTCTAGTTATAAAATATATTTCACTCTTCAATTAAATATTTCAGAATATTCATGACAATGTTATCGGCAAGATAATTGCATAAATTATGTATATAATTAATTCTGTCGCGTCAAAATAACGAAATATTGACGAATTAATCATATTTATTTGCGACCGACGCGCCATTCCGTTCCGTTTTTGCTACATGGGACTGGTAGAGGAAACTTTTACGGAACGGAATTAGAGAACGGAACGCTCATTATAGTAAGAAATCCGATCCGGCGTTCCGATCCATGCTCAATGGGACGGCACCCTAAGGGTACGTTCAGATTCCCTACTCGGGCGCACTCTAATACTAGAAGTGCTATAGTATATGTAACATATACTATAGTGTTTCTAGTAATAGAGTGTACCCGGGTAGGGAATCTGAACGCACCCTTACGCGATGTGAATTCTCCATTACAATTGAAATGCAACTTGTGTCGCCGTGTGCATGAAAGTATCTAGGGATATTGCAATTGAAAAGCACCCAATGTAGAACGACCTTAAAGCCCGTATCAGACTACGGATTAAGATTGAGGTTGAATTGAAAATTGGCCAATCAGAGTAATGTTCACCAAACTTGAGCTTAGTGAATTTTGCTCTGATTGGCTAAATTTCAATTCAATCTCAATCCTAATCTATAGTCTGATACGGGCTTTATAGACGATTACATCCGGACATATATTAGAATTCCTTATAGCCATTTTCACCATCTCCGGTTACCTTAACCGGCTAGTTATTCCGTTGGAACTGACCAATCGCACTTGTCGTTTAACAAGATTAACCAATCACCGTGCACATTTAACCAGTAGTTAAGGTAACCGGAGATGGTGAATGGCCATTAATAACTCTAAAATAAATCTATAAGATCCTTCACATATCCTTCCAACATAAACCCCGAACAAACCCAGACAGCACAAGATCTCCTGAGGACGTCCTAAGGACGTCCTGAGGACGAATAATGTCCTCAGGATGTCCTCAGGATGTCCCCTGGACATCTGTGTTATTAAGGAATACATAGTGAAAGGGCCAATGAGTTAGGCCTGCAGTCGAAGAGAGAGAGAGAGAGAGAGAGATCACGTCCGGAGCCAACCACAGATGGCACTACAAATCAACGTTCAATTTTTATATAAGAGCGAGTTTGGACGCCCTAGTGGGTATTTCGTATGTAGCAGTCGAAGAAGGAGGAGGAGAAGGAGGAGGACACTTTACGGGCCGCGTGCAGCAGTGACGACGTGCGTCGAACGTGGGCGAATGTTGAGCTTCCTCAGCGTACGGAGAAGATGCGCGTGTCAGGAGACCGCGGGGAAATGAATAACGACGAGTCGGCAGGAACGCGGGTCATGAATCGTGCAAAATGAAGAGAACGTGTAACGCCGCAGTGGAGGCTCGGACAACGGACAGCCTCGAAGCCACCAGACGTTTGCACAGGTAACAATCATATTCTCGTAGAATTCTGCGAAGATACAATTTTTCTATCGAGAAAAATTTCATATAGCACTGCGAAGACTAATCTTTATTCGATAACCTCGTTGGCAAGGACAAAGTTGACGAAGCAAACTTTCCAAGAAACCTAACCTAACCTAATCACTTTATTCATCGTTATGTTTGTTTCTTTTCTTCTTATTCGCATCTTGTTGTGTTTCGGACACCACGTGAAATGTCTTGAACACGATTGATCGGCTCGAGTTAAGAAATATGTAATTGATACGTTTGTGTCTTCCCAACATTGCATAATAGTAGACATGTTTGCTATAAAAAAAAAATTTATGACCAAACTCGCTATGTATCGTTGACGGTGACCTTTGTATAACACAAACATGTGTTACTTATCTCTCTCTCAAACACTGGTATGTTTTATTTGCTAGGAGTGTGACTGAGATCGCTAAGAGATTGGATGAACAAAAAAATCGTGCTCTGACAATATGCGATATATTTATCCCATCTGTGGAGGTTCTACGTATGAAGCTTAAAGATTATTGTGAGAGGTTGATACTGAAAGATCCTGTTGGAAATGCGCGAAAAACAGAGGAGTTGCTATGGAGGAAGGCGTTCTATGATGTTGTTTATGCAGCTAAAAAGTTGCGCAAGGTAATGAATCAGTCTGACGAGCTGTAAAATTTATAGCTCAATATTATAAAATAAACATAAAGTTTATAAGTCAGTAATATTGAAAGTATGATATTTTTTTGTATAGAATTTTTTAATTCAGTGTTGCATTTTAGGGTAACCAGTGGAATGAATCAGAGAAAGCATTGCTGTCGGTGCATTTGGCAGTGGGTTTAGGATATTACCATCATCTGATATTGAGCCTACAATCTGAATATGATTTAGATCTTGTTGGTATCATTGATTTTGCTTTCACACACTTTGAAACCACTTCGTCATACGTAAGTATGACCCCCTATGTAAGTGTAATTCTGTTTTTTTTTATATATATCTTTTGATGTATAACTCAGATGTTAAATGAAGGACTTGGAATTTATGTTTCAATTGATTTCATTCAATTCTGCTCTAGGCAAGATTTAAAATGGTGCAAGCTAAACCAACACACTCTAAAGAAGTGAAACAGTGTGTCATGCGTTTGATCCATCGAAGTCTGGTGTGCCTTGGAGACCTGACCAGGTACAAATTAGAATTAGATTCAGACTGGGATCCAATGATAGCGAACAGATATTACAAAATGGCTATAGCCATCGACCCAAACATTGGAATGCCTCATAATCAACTTGGTACTATCGCGGGCGGCAAAAACTACGGTCTGGATGCAGTTTATCATTATATGAGATGGTTAGTATTACTGGCAAACACATTAATACTATTAATAGCAAGCAACGTTATCTCGCGATAAACGATGGCATTGACAACAACAAAGTATCATTACAATCGTTATCGCGCTTTGTAGCGCCTTATGTCCCGAGCCATTTGAAGGAGTGGAAGGAAATTTGAAGAGGTCTATAATCATCAACTCCACCTGTACAGACGAGAATAATTCAGTCCATCATTGTGTATCGCGATTATTTTCTCTGTTACATTTATGGGAGTACGATAATCCAAATTCGGACAAAATAAATCAGGAATGTCAGGTGCATAAATAACATATATAATTTTATTTTATATTAGCCGTAATGACTACCAATTCTGTGTGAAATTCTAATTTTTTTAATTGCTTGTAACATTGATCTTTTCAACAGGATCTCTTGACTGACCTCGAGAATTGTTTGACTATGGAACAACTTACAGAGACGAATAACGCGAGTTCTCTTGAAAACGCGGATAGTATAGAAACATATCTACAAAATTGCAAAAGCAGACCAACGCTATATTTAACGGACGACATGGTATTTAAGATTGTGACAATATGCTTAATGTCAATTTCTAGATTAAAGAACAGAGAATCTAGCGAAGTGCAGGGTGTCGTTGCTATCACTCTAGCAATATTGTCGCAATTGCTACAATTTACACTAACGAAACTACAAGAATTGGTCGTAGAAGTAGTAGTACCGGATGTTGAGGCGAACGTGAACGCAAATTCTTACTCCTCGAAGCTCAAGAACGCGCAAAAAAATGAGATGCCACGTAATAAGAAGGAAAACAACGGAGATCACGTGCCGGGAGAGAATTCCGCCTCTAACCAAGACAATAATATATCGAATTTAAAGCAGGACGACCAATCACAGGTAATCGAAGAAACAAAACCGTCAGACAACGGAGTTGCAAACAACGAAGTGCCCAAGAAAACTCGCGAGAAATCTAAAAATCTTTTGAGCAAGCTACGTAGGCGAAAGAGACGAACAAATTCCGATTCAGACGCGAGTGATACGGAACAGCCAGTGTTGGTGTCATCCAGCGACGAGATGCACTCTGAAACCGAGGAGGAAGATGCGCCGAGCGAGGAGAACGATGCTCTGTCGGAAGATGCTCTTTCGGACGACAATACGGACGACGAGGAATTGTCTTCGCCATTACGTGGTAAAGAGCAGATCGACGGGAACGCGATGAAGGAGGAGATAAACGGTCATATGGACGTTGCCGACCCTAAAACGGAGAACAACGTCGACAAAAATGACAATGATCAGCTGGTCAACGGCGAGCAACATGTGACGGACGAGCAGGCGAATGCGAAATCTATCAATGATCAGGATTCTGTGACGAATTCAGCCGGCAGCGCCGTAACCATCACGACGAACGCTGACTCGACCAGCAGTGCTCTCGAGGAAAGCAATAACAGTAGTTTAAAAAACACTGCTGCTTGCGTGGCGCAGTCAAAAAAGCAGACCTTGAAGCCGGACGATATTCTAAGCCTGTTGGTCGGCAAAGAGATCCTCGCGTCCATCAAGGTATGTTTTGATTGGTTACGAAGCAATCCCGACATCGTGAGGATCTGTGCCAAGAGCTCGCGAATGTTGCTGAAACGCGTGACGATCCTGCTCAATTTGATCAACGTGGACGGCGAGGCGTTCGTGTGCAAGAACGAAGATTCTGCGATTCTGTCGAGCGCGGAGAGGTTGCAGGAGTGTGTGAAAACGTTGCCGCTGCCGGAGGATAACGATCTCAAGGGTTTGACTCTCCTGGAAGAGTCACATCGTTCCCTCGACTGGCGCATTCTGCATAAACACAAGATGAGCAAGAGAGAGGAGACGTTGCTGAGGATGTTGAAGATGGTCGAGTTCGGACGTCATCTCAACGCTGTCGAGAATTCGGGCGTGCGGTACGATCCCGTCGAGCGACTGTTCGTTGCGAACGACTACAGTCCGTCGAACGCTCCGAAGCCAATGGGCTTGGACGAGAAGAACTTCAGCATGGAACATCCAAGGGGCAAGCTTATGAGGCATATGGGTAAGCTCTGGCTGAAGGCGGAAGTGCGCGCTTTGGAAAGCCGCCTACACTTCCGATTGATGTCACCGTATCTTGTACCTGACCACGAAGCTTTGGCCAAGTATACGCCGACCCTTAAGCGCCTGGTGTACGCCAAGAAATTCGTAGTGGTAATTCCTGCAGTAGGTGAGTGCAATTTGAAGAGTTGGAATTGCGAGATAATGCTGCGCTTTGGGTATTTACGATAATGGTTCTCCGAGTTAGTTCCTCTAAGACTGAAATAACAGGTATAATCATCATAATTGTGGCAATTCAGTCCTGTCTGGTAAACCTTGAGTTGAGTTTGCAGGCAAAAGACAACATGTGAGGAACTAACTCAAAGAGCTATTATTGTAAACACCCTTTATTTTCTTTATTGTACCTTATACGTTGTTTTTGTATAATAATTATCTCACACTCATGAGACAATAACACGAGTTTCGTTTAACAGTTGTCTCCGCGTTGGACGAGGTGAAACGTATCAGCGGCCAAGCAAGAGAGGCAACACGATGGCTGGAGAGTCAATTGAGACGTGGCTCAAGATTCTTACGGGCGCAGAGACCTCACGAGCGTCTGGCGCTGCCACTGATCAAAGGACCAAAACCAAAAGACAAGGAGGCCTGGTTGTTCTTTCAGATCATAGAATGTTGCCATTATCTCACTCAGCAGGCGAAGGTCGGCTTTACCGGCGACGGGGAGGCACCAGTTGTAACTCTCTTGACCGGATGTAATCCGGACGAGAGGAAGGCTTTGACTTTTAGTCCTGATGGATTAGCAAAAAGCGCGGGTAATTATTCTCCTTGTTTCTTACTTCTCTTCAGCTTTATCTGTTACAAAACACTAATGTGAAATGATCATCGTTACTATCAATGATTTTGCGTTAACGTTGACAGCTTTTATTATGCATGTTGCGTGTACAGTAGAAGCGTGAGTGGAAAAGTAAGTTAACCGGTCTCGACATTGTAACAATGTTAATTTAATATTGTTTGATTGATTCTCGTCTCGCAGGTGTTAATCTCGAGCATATTGAATCGTTTCAAACCAAGTGGAAGTCGTCGAGCAAGAGCCACGGTTGAGCGAGGTACGTCCACGCCTGCGTGATCATTCACTGCTGTTCTCACCTCGGAGGGAAAAGTCGACGGCGACTTAGCGAAGTCTTATCGGGACATGTCTAGTTGGACACACCCGGATTCGATCGAGCGATCGACAACAGGAAGAGAAAAGGAAAGAGAGACAGAAAGAAAGAAAGAAAGAAAGATAGGAGGGGTTGGAAACCCGCGCGCATGAAATGAAAAATCAATCGACCGGGTTTTACGAATGTGACGAAATCGGTGCCGATGAAACGTCCTTTCCCTACAGCGCATACAGAAAAGTTTTAAGTAACAAAACACACATTTGTTCTCTCTTTCTAATTATTCATATTGCCATTTATGTTTGAAAGAATTGTATTTTTAAGTAAACGGTTTTTAAAATAACCGCACCGTTGTGTTCTCACCAGCCACGTCAAAAATCTCAGCGAAGTCGAGCAAGCAGCTGTCCGCGGTTGCGAATAATCATGCTGTCGGAGAAAATAAAATGGAACGCACGATTCGGACGACCGGTGCAACGTCCATCGAGAGAATCGAACACGTCTGAAAAGAGCTGAAGACTGAGAAACGCTCGTCGCTTGATACATATTAATTATGTATATATATAGACACTAGAAAAAAAAGATATTACGTGCAACTTGCCACGAGATCTCATCGGTTCTCATCGTTTACAGTTCCCACGTTTTGTTCGCGACTTCCTTTTTTTTTTACACGTGTATATGTGTGTACGCGCGCGCGCGCGCGCACGTTCGTTTAAAAATTATACTTGTATTACCGCCAAAAGTATATATGTAAATCGAAAAGTATATCGTTACACAAGATGTTCCAAATCGATCCTGAGAAATGTTGACGTTCAAATTCTCGACTTGAAACATCCGAACATCAATCCGTGGACTTCTCCCTTCAGCTTGTCGCGTAGAAAATTTCTCGAATGGAAAATGTATCGAACGGGGAATGTTTTGTCAAACAAAATATTCCAAATTAACCTTGAGAAATATTAACGTTCAAATTCTCGATTTGAAACATCCGAACCGGCTTCTCCCTTCGGCTGATCGCATAGAAAATTTCTCGCCGCGTGGATAGATTCTCCCGCTCTATATTCGTCCGGGAATTCATGACTAAGTATCCATTAATTTCTCAACACCTTATTTTCCGGAGTATGCCCGACCGTGTATACGTGGATGTCGCGTATCGGTGGCGAGTGCTGTGTACGTGCGTATGTGTGTGTGAGTGAGTGACACGATTATTCTGGCGGAGACGAACGCGCACGCGCGGCAGTGCTTTTGCGTTGCAGTAGTGGCAGCGTGACATAACCTAGCGGCAGTTCATCGTCGTGTTTGCCTGTGTGTCGTCGTTGGTTTACGTGTCGACGGAGGAACGGTCGTGGTTCTCGTATCGCGCACCGCGCTCGCACAATCGGTCGGTAGCTCGTGGCAAACGTGGACGCGTATCACGCGGTCTCTCGCGGCGCGGTTATCGTGATGGCGGAGTCTGAAACGTCGAGCATCGTGCATGTTGGTCATCGTTACACGTCCGCCGCACCGTCTCTCTAGTTCCGCGGCCCGAAGCCATCGGTGAAAAAGTCCAACGTGGTTGCTGCTCGTCGTTGCGTTCGAACGTTCGAATCGTCATCGTGCGAGGGAGTGTCGCCGCTGGTAGTATCGCGGCTGTATGTCGTAGTTTTTACACGATAACACGCAATACCGCGGTCGAGAGTGCGATCACTGTAAGTGAGAAAAGGAGAAGCGACGAGAGAGAGAAAGAGAGGGAGAGGAAGAGAGAGAGAGATAGAGAGGAAGAGAGAGACAGCAAGTGAGCGAGCGTGCGAGGATCGCGCGAGCGTCGAAAGTAACGAGTCATCTACCGATCCAAGATGGCAGAACGCCAGGAGGGTGGTCCGAAGAAGATCACCATCAACGTGAAGACGCCAAAGGAGAAACAGAGCGTGGAGATCGAGGAAAATGCGACGATAAAGGACGTGAGTACGACAACGATGGCAACGAGTGGCGTCGTCTTTACCGGCACCTTTCGCTGTTCCGTATCGTCGCTACGTTTGGCGCATCGCCAACCGTCAGCTGTCAAACGGGATCGCGGTGTTTCTAATTTATTTGTTTTTCTTTCTACCCTGCTCGGCGCGCCGGCAGTTTAAGGAGGCGGTCTCGAAGAAGTTCAATGCACAAGCCGATCAGCTGTGTTTGATCTTTGCGGGAAAAATCATGAAGGATCACGAGACCCTCAGCACGCACAACATCAAGGACGGTCTGGCGGTGCACTTGGTGATCAAAGCACCGCGCTCCGCCACCACTACGTCAAATCAGGAGTCCACTCCGACTACCAGACCTCAAGGTATGAGTGAACTGTTTATGTATTATTTTGAAACATTGAATGTCACCATACAATTGTCAAATCATGATATAGCCTGAGATTATCCAGATATTTGAGAGTTTTGTCCATAACAAAAACAAAAATAGACTGTATAGGATTGATGCGTTCTAATAAAATTTCAGTGTAACTAATATTATATTGAAGTACAAACACACAATACAAATTTTATTGATAAATATAAGATTCTTAAATTGAATTTTACATTGTTTTGATGTTATACATTTTTAAGAAAACAAGTATACTCTTTATTACAAAATATTTTTCTTATATGTATCGGTCAAACAGTAAATCGAATTGTCTACTGTTGGGGCTGATTATTTCAACTTCTTGGTTAACTGATAGCTAAATCATATATCTGCCTTTGTCTAAATTGAAGGAAAAACAAAGACAGACATATGATTTAACTATCAGTTAACTTACCAAAAAATTGCAACAACCTGTTTTAAAAAAGGCAGACTCATGCAGGAAAAGTTTATGTTCTACATAATTGTAACTACACTGTGACACCTAACACATCAAGTATTGTTATCTGCTTCATAAAAAATACATTAAGGATCGGAAATGAATTCATATACCTTGACCTCTTGCGTTTAGTTAATTGTATTCTGATTGATGGCTTTTAAATCAATATTCCATTACACATATTCATTTTCCTCGAGAGTTTGCTTTGAAATTTATATTTGCAAGCCCAAATATTTCTCCATTGGATAAGTATCGACAGATAAAGATGAATTAATAAACATATAAGCATTTACAATAATGTCATAAATACTCTCATATCTGCAAATGTTTATTAATTGCAGCTGACGTCAATGCTAGTCCATTTGGTTTGGGCAGTTTAGGTGGACTAATGGGATTGGAATATCTTGGCTTGGGATCTGCTAATTTCATAGATTTGCAGCAGAGAATGCAACGGGAATTGTTAATGAATCCGGAAACGATGCGCACAGTACTCGACAATCCCTTGGTGCAGAATCTAATGAACGATCCGGAAAACATGCGTAATTTGGTCACCGCCAATCCCCAGATGCAAGAGCTAATGCAACGAAATCCTGAAATCAGCCACATGCTGAACAACCCTGAGCTGTTACGGTAATTATCAATGCAATATTGCATCATAATCGAAATCTAGTTGCAGAGCTAATCTAAATACAATAGCCGGGTCATATTTTCCGCTTTTCCACTCGCGTTTTCTACTTTATGTTTTCGATTATTTTCTGCCTCCTTCATTCTGCTGTTGTGAATAATATTCTAAAATCTAAATCGAAGCTGATTTACTTCACTTTACTTGTGCAATATTACATGCAAAATATTATTTTTAGCCAAACAATGGAGCTTGCGCGTAATCCGTCGATGCTGCAGGAACTAATGCGATCGCACGACCGTGCTCTATCCAATTTGGAGAGCATACCCGGCGGTTACAGCGCGCTGCGCCGCATGTATCGCGATATTCAGGAACCGATGCTGGCGGCTGCAACAAACGGTCGTAATCCCTTCTCCGCTCTGGTGGAGAACAACTCGTCCAACCAGGATACACAAAATCCGCAGCAGGGCCAAGAGAACCGTGATCCCCTACCGAATCCGTGGAATCCAAGTCAGAATGATACCAACAATGGCGGGACGCAGCCGAATCAGAGCAGAGGCTTACTGGATTCGCCGGGTATGCAGAGTCTTACCGCCCAGATAATGGATAATCCTCAGTTGATGCGAAATATGTTGAACGCTCCCTATACGCGTTCCATGCTCGAGGCAATGGCAGCCGACCCAGCGATGGCGAATCGCGTGTTCGCTGCGAGCCCATTCCTGCGTAGCAATCCGCAGATGCAGGAACAGATGCGTGCCATCATGCCCGCCGTCTTACAGCAGATGCAGAATCCTCAGATACAGAATGTCGTTAGCAATCCAGACGCACTGGCCGCCATCTTGCAGATACAACAGGGTATGGAACAGCTACGCACCGTCGCTCCTGATCTTGTGGAAAAGTAAATTCTTTCGTTCTCTTTACGTCAAAACAGTTCATTAAATTTCATGTGCTAAGTGTGTGTATGTTTCAGTATGGGCCTTACGGTCCCACCACCTGTGACTACGACACCCAACACCGGTGGCGGCACAAGTCCCAGTGTACCGACCAGCCAATCATCGGACACCAATCAGCAGGACGCGTTTTCCCAATTCATGGCACGTATGGTAAGAATATCTTGTTTAATTTCTGGGTTGTATAATTTAATTGTATAACGGTGTCTCATAGTGGTGCAGATCTTGAATTGCAAACACCTAAAATACATATAAATACGTTAGGAAAGTCCTTAAAGTCCTCGAAGAAAATTCCCTTTGGAATTTAAAAGTCAGAACGTTAAGTATTTTATCGATATTCTTGACGTAACATCAGACGGACTTGTATACTAAATCATATTTTATTTATGTATGCTAGGTCTCTGCAATGGCATTAAATCAAGGTGTAGAAGTCGACGGCCAACCTGTACCTCCACCAGAAGAACGTTATAGAGCACAGCTAGAACAACTTACGGCTATGGGTTTCCTTAATAGAGATGCTAATTTACAAGGTTAGAAATTCGTTTAGATTTTTTTTAGATTTCTCATATGCTACATCTGATAATATTTCAGTTCTCAAATATCTTTTCTTATTTTTCAGCGTTAATTGCTACATTTGGAGATATAAATGCCGCCGTTGAGAGACTACTCTCTAATGGGCAAGTGTCTATGAGCTAACCACCAATCAGCAATACCGTTATTCCATTATTATCTTTAATTTTCTCCTTATTTACCTCGTACGACAGACGCGGTGAGAGATATTTCAGATAACTGGCTGTCGAAGAAAAAAAAAGAATTATAAAATTATACCCCCTCTTCCTCGTCCAACTTCTACCCGTTTCTCAGTCTTGACGCAATATATGCTACCGACATGTTCAAAATTCGCATCTTCTTTTGTACTTGAATTCAGGTTTATCTGTGTTTAGACGTTAGAGAAAACGGCGTAGATACTAAACTACGTTCCCCGACTGTTCACTTCTTCGAATCTCCGTTCTCGGTTTGTCTGTCCCGTATTCTCTTCGATGTGCTCTAAAGCTAAGTAGCTCTGTTGATGTCATTTTTCTGTGTAAATTTCTTTATATAGCAGCCCTGCGATAGTCGCTGCGATACACGCGCGATCACGTTTACGACAATTCTTTACAACATATTTCCATGTGAACTTTCTTATAGAAACACAAATGGAAACCTGCATGGAAAATCTAGATTGTCACTATTAAGGAGCTCGCTTCTCGGCTTCGTCGGTCGATCGAAAGTGCATTCACAGTACTCAACCATCTCTTTTTGCTTTTTTGACTATCCTAATATATTTATAATCGCTCGTAGCGAGATATGTTGTTTGTATATGTTCCGAGTAAACAAAGAGAAAAAAGTAAGTGAGAAGAAAACGAAATCAGCAGAGGATGAGTGTAATGCTTTGGCACGGATTTCTCGATCGTTTCCTCATACGTAAACGAAAATATCTTTGGATATATGTATATGTATATACACATGGTTACACACATATATACAGGGTGCGGCAAATTTAAATTGAGACAAATATATGAAAAATGTAGCAAAATAAAAATATTTCAGACAAATGTTGTTGGGTTGGAAGGGGGGGCATGTGGTAGTGCTATTGACTTGACCTTATGGTAAATTAACAATCTTGGCGTATTCATTGCAAATTCAAGCCAATGGCACTCTCTTCTCTTTATCGTACGTCCCACTTGAAACTGTACAACTTTTAGTCTAAGATATTCTTTTTTTTTACTTTGTTTTTTATATATTTAAGAATCTCAATTTAAACGCCGCGCACTCTGTATATGTATATTAGCGAGATTCGCACACATCGTACTCAGAGGGCACGACTCGACGATCCGTACTGTAATACGTTTTCCATGTTTTTATGGGTACGCATGAGGCGACAACTGCTTTCTTTGAATTGCATACTAGCGTGCACCGTCTCTTTGTTGGTTTAATTTGATCGTAGCGTAAAAGTACTATCATTAAGCGTTATACATATATATAAATATATATATATATATTATATATATATGTCTTGTAATACAAGTCTAGAAATTTGTAGCGTGATCATTGAGAAACATACGGCATAGATTGTTTATAGAGGAATGTGTGCGCGGTATGGGTTGGCTTGGCGCACGACCACGCGCAAAAATGCGTGAATTCGAAGGAACACCTAATTGTCGGCTAGCTCTAAAGCATAAAGATAAAAAGAAATCGAAGATGTATGTTGTAAATTATCCTTTTTCGGAGGGAAACAGCTATGATTTTAATACTTTTGATTGATGTACGATTACATAAGTATCCATGCGCATTATATTATCTTTTATGTGTATTCAGTATACTTCACTGGATGAGACATTCTGCTGTAAAAGCGATTATATTACAAAATAAAGTTACGGTTGATTCATACCCATCGATCAACTATCGAATAGATTTTTCGATGAGAACTTTAGATTACTTGTTCTAATATTGTATAATAATTCATCGAGTCAGATTGTAGATTCATAATTAGAAAAATATAATTTCCTCGCTATGTTCATTAAGAAATTTCCTTAGCAAGTTATTGAATAATTTCTTTGTATTTATCTTTATTAACTAAAGAAAGAAAAAGAACGTTTAACCCTGTCACTTTATATACTAATATACTCGTATTATTTTCCTTTAACGAATGTTTTCTTTTTTCATTGGTAAGAATGATTCACAGGGTTAACACGTGAAACAATTTTGGAAAATTGAATAATCAAATTGATAATCGCTTATCATCGATTGAGATTTCACAAAGCTTCCGCATTCTATTTGTCGATACTTTGAAATTTCGCGCTCACGCGGCTCTAGTTCATCCGGCGCGATGCTAGATGGCGCGGCGAGAAGCAACGCGGCGGCTCCCACAATCGAGCCGGGCCGGTCAATCAGTCAGTTCGTATCGGTCGCTCGGCTGGTTCAGTTAGTGAGCGCATGCGCAGCGGGACGGTGCGCCAGCCATAAACGCCGGCTCGAGGCGCAGCAGCTGCCGCTCGGTGTCGGTTGACGTTTCGTCGCCGTGAGAAACTCGTTGTCGAGTCTGCGCGGGTATGCGGGCAACCTCGTTGGCTGGCTAGCGGGCTAGACGGCTGGCTGGTTGGTCAGTTCGGGCATCTCTCACGTGCGTGCGTACAACCTGCGTGTGTGTATGTGTGTGCCGTACGTGATGTAGAAGGTTTGAAAATTTGAAAAGCGGCGTGCGCGAGTGTCGCGGGTAGTTCCCGCGCGGTGCAGGTGTCTCGATACGAGAAAGAGAAAAACAAACGTTGGCGGAGGAGGTGGAGGAGGAGTGCCGTCGTCGTTGGCCGTTCGCTTCTTCCGGAAGAGGATTCACGTGGCTAGAAGGACGTGATCTACCGTTGGTCGTCGTCGTCGTCGTCGCTGCCGCCGCCGCCGCCATCGTCGTCGTCGAAAACGTCGACGGTACAGCCCAGCGGAATGTGGCACGAGGTGAGTTAGCAGCCTGCCCGGTTTTCGCTTACCCGACCAGGGATGGACCTCGAGAGTGGGCCCTTTCGCTGCGTCTTTCTCTCTTTCCTTTTCTGTCTGTCTGCTCCGAGTGTCTTCAGCTCGACAGGGCGCTTTTCGACTCCTTTCGCTAAATCGCGACGGTTAGACGCGGAGCGTCGGTTGCGCGGAAATTTCTCGTGCTCTCTCTCTCTCTCTCTCTCTCTCTCTCTCTCTCTCTCTCTCTCTCTCTCTCTCTC